GGGGGGTTCTGGGGGTGTTTTGCAGGGTCGGGGTCCCCGAAGGCGGCGCGGGGGGAGCGGGGGGGCGACTGTCCCCAGGGCTACAAACGGCTCAACAGCTCCCACTGCCAGGGTACGGGGGGGGGGACGGGGAGGGCGTGGGGAGGGCACGGGGGGCGTGAGGGGGGGACACGGGGGGCACAGGGAGCGTGTGGGGGGGGGGACGTGTGTGTGAACGTCCAGTGGGTGTGTGGGGGGTGCAGGGGCTTGCACAGGGCCGTGTGTGCGTGTGGTGGGTGCAGGTGTGTTCACGTGTGTTCACGCGTGTTCACGTGTGTCACAGACGTTGGGGGGGTGTCAGGGTGTGTGTGGGGCTCAGGTGCGTTCATACTCCTGTCACACCTGTGTCACGCCTGTCACAGGTACCCATGGGTGTGTCCTGCCTGGCGAGTGGGGGGGCGTGTGTGGGGTCAGGGCTGTGTGGGATGGGTTCAGGTGTGTCATACCTGTGTCAGGTGTGTCCTGCCTGGCTCAGGTGTGTTCTACCTGTCACAGACATTAACGAGTGTGCCCTGCCCGGCGTGTGCCAGCCCGGCGAGTGCCGCAACACCCAGGGCAGCTTCCGCTGCTCCTGCTCAGCTGGGCACGTCCTGGGACCCTCCCGGAGCCAGTGCCTGCGTATGGGGGGTCCTGGGGGATAATGGGGAAGCTGGGGGTCCTAGGGGTGCATGGGGGGTTGGGGGTCCTGGGGAAAATGGGGAAGCTGGGGGTCCTGGGGGTGCATGAGGGGTTGGGGGTCCTGGGGCCCCCTGAACCAGTACCTGCGTACAGGGGTGGCTGGGTTGGGGTCTCTGGGGTCTTGGGGGTCCCTGGAGGAGTCACTGAGAGTGCTGAGACCCTCCCCCCCCCGCCAGCGTAGCTCAGCAAGGAGTGGGAGCTCTGGAGGTTTGGGGGGTTTTGGGGGTCTCTGGGGGGTCTCTGAGGGTGCTGACACCCCCCTCTCCCCCCTCCCGCAGCGGAGCCAGGTGAGGAGCGGGGTCTGTGCTTCCGGCTGGTGTCGGGGGCACAGCAGTGCCAACACCCCCTGCCCACCCGCCTGACGCGCCGGACCTGCTGCTGCAGCGTGGGCAAGGCCTGGGGGGGACGCTGCCAGCGCTGCCCCCCCCGATGGCACCGGTACAGGGGGGTCACGGGGGGCTGGGGGGGCCCAGGGGGGACGCTGTCAGCACTGCCCCCCTGATGGCACTGGTACAGGGGGGTCACGGGAGTCTGGGGGAGCCGCTGCCCCCCCGACAGCCCTGGTTTGGGGGTGCAGGGCAGTGTGGGGGACCCCAGCCCCATTTGGGGGCCTCCTGGTCCCACTGTGCCCTCCCGGATGTGTTTGAGGCCACCTGCCCCTCACAATCCAAGGGGGTCCTGGTCGTGTGTGAGGGGTGATGGGAGCCGGGGGGATTCCATCCTCATTTAGGGGTCCCCCCGAGGCCCTCCTGACCCCCCGGTGCCCCCCAGCTGCATTCAAGGCCATCTGCCCGGCGGGGAAGGGGTACCACGTCCTCACATCCCACCAGACCCTCACGATCCAGGGCGAGAGCGACTTCACCCTCCATATCCAACCCGACGGGACCCCCGAGCGGCCTCCCCGGCCCCCCCC